TCCCGTTTCCCGAAGGAGACGGGAGTGGACCGAACTCGACGGCACTGCAGTGTCGAGACGATCCGTGGCACAGGTCCGAGTGAACCCGGGTGATCCTGGCCGATGTCCAAAAATCCGCTTGAAAGAGCCTGGCCCCAATGGGACCAGCGCCGGCTTTCAAACCGACGAGAACAGATACTACACTTTGATCTTAGCCGAAAAGGCCGAGAAGCGATGCCTATCTTGGAGGATAGGAAAGCACGAAATTGCGGCTGCAATGGCACATTGCTCACTCCAAGGTTCGCAAAGAACAGAAAAAAAATGAAACGCGTAAGGACAGAAGAAATATCGTGCCCCGCATCGCAACGAGAAAAATTACTTATTACAACTTACCAAGAGGTAAATGATATTTACTGATTAAATACATGTTGCGATGACGAAATTGTGCGAGTTGATCGTAATATCGACCAGCCAGAGCGACATTTTTCTAAAATTAAAATGCACTATCAGTAGATTGTTCGAATATATGTTTAATAATTTGTATTTAAATACCATGTTTCAAAAGATAAACTCATCTTTTTTCTAAAATTCTCTTTTTTCTTTTGAAAATTAAGATGATGAATAGGTTGTTGATGTTATCTTTTCCAATGAGAACGATCTGTTTATGCACACTATAAAATCGCATTACGTTTTCCCGAATGTTACTTTTCGTTGAGCAGCAGTCTCAATGTTCAATAAACTCACGTCAGAAGAATATAAACGAATGGGCTTCATGTTTGCAAGCAGATTCTTCACAACTATGTGTATGCTAGCACTGATTGTGTTTTTCCAGTTTTATCCGTCATTGTTCAGCATTTATATTTTTTTTGACGGAGAATGAAAATATTTAATTTCTTCTAAAATGGAAAGTTTATTTCGATGTTGATGATACCATGGACGATAAAAGTAATGTACTTACATTGTCTAGATTTAGTAAAATAATTTGAAGAAGATTTACCGAAAAACAAAATCTAAGGAAAACAAAAATAGTTAAATTTCATGGTAGTACTGAAATTCAACTAATTGATTCAAATCTAGATCATGAGAATGACAGACTTCACGAAATGGTACCTGTCATATAGTTCAGTGTCTTACATCTTAAATGACACTGAATAATCAAAACTTCACGAATAAAAGAAAATATTGCTAATGAATCAACAAACTTATTCAAGAATATACTGATTGATATATACTCTGTTTCGGACGACTTACTTCTCGATACTGAGATATCATAATAAGAAAAAACCAGTAAATGGACAAAAAATATTCTTTTTCACAATGAAAAAAGAACGAGTCATTTCATAAAGATTATACTACGTTTTTATGTAGATAATTATCGTCGGAAGCTACAAAAATGAAGTTGATAGATTGGACTGTCATTCTGTGATAATTTTTCCGATCAACATTTTTCACATTAGTTATTCTTCAACCTTGTAGTCATCAATCAAGCGTAATTTTCAATTTGTAGACATTACAATAATAAATGATATTCATTGATGAAAAACATATTATATAACTACAACAATAAAACAACCATATTATTCATATGCAGTAATTCATAACGTCTAACTAAATTGAAATCTAATTATAGGATAAATTAATCATTTTAGATATCTATGTATTCATGAATAATGTGAATCCGAAAACGATATAGACTACTCACGCTTATTTCATTTGACTAGTGTTAGTGTTGATACGAATTGATTATTGTATAACGATTACATTAAATCAAACACATTTAACTACAATACTTGTAACTATTCATTTTTATTTACTATCATGTTGAAGAACAAAATGTTTTCTCATTGGGTTTTTGGATCTAACAGCGATTAGAGATCATTTTACTGATTGAAATATTTTTTTCGATACTTTCAATAATGAACATTATTGAAAAACGTGTACCACGTCTGCTTGCTCTAAACTAACACAAATAGAAGTTTTTTAGTATTGTCAAAATTGAAATTTTATCATTTACTATATCATTCTTTTTTTCTATCAACAATAATGAATTGTAAAGGTGTCCTTTTAATGTTTCCAAGAATAAACTTGCTAATTTGAAATAGTTTTCATTGACTCATAAATATATGCTGATTTATTTGTTCTCATAATCAGAATTTCTTACCATCACAGGAAGATATTCAATGTATAATTTTCGTTATTTTCTAGTGAAAAATGTATGTCAAATATAAAAGATCGTCAATAAATGTTATCGGTGCATATACGATGTAACACGACAACATAAACGATCAATTAGTGGTCTAGTGAATATAACAAGATTTGTTTTTTTGTCACTCTTAGGAATGTTTGTGATCTTTACGATCGATTGTACAACAGTCAATTAAACCATCAAAAGACCACTTTATGTAGTAAGCGGGATGTAAAATTTTACAAACAGAAATGAAATTCATTTGATCTTGATTGCTTACCAATTATCTATTTCTTTCGAATAACAAAAATGACTATAATTAGCAATGATTTTTAACGTTAGAAATCATTCCCCATCTATCTTTCTCTTCTTCTTACATTATTAAATGTATATTTTATTTTTTAACTATTTTAGTTTGGATTCGTACTGACGATTGTTCAATATCATAGGTAAGTATTAGTTTTAGTTCTTTTATTTATTTTTTTGTTGTCTCAGCTTTTTATCCCATTTATTTATTTTAATTTTATATGATTATAATTGTCTTTCTAATATCTATTTTAGTGATACAAAAGTGTAAGTATAACTTTTTGTATATATGTATATTCTTTACGTCCTACGGAGGCCTTCCATGCATCGGCGTGAAACTGGCCAAGCCTACTTTGGTGCCCATAGCACGTACAGGCCGCACATAGATCTCTCTATTGTATGTTCTATACACGTTAGATCTATGCCTGTACGTGAAGAGCCTTAGCTCTCAATGGCACCACCGAGGTAGTTCTTGGTCGCGCGAGCAACTATTAGCTGGTAAGCAAAAAAATTTTTTTTCATTCCAATCAGTTCATTTCTTATTTCGTTTTAGTTCATTTCGGTTTCTTCAACAGCAAAGTAAATATAATTACTTTCACTTATTTTATTCGAAAATAATAAAATGAATTGTTATTTTTATGTTTGAGTTCCATTCAACAATTAAATTCAATCCAATCCAAACGAACGCAAGTGTAAGCATATATATTTTTTCACTGTTGTTGTTTATTTTTTTTATTGTTAAAATAAACGTTGTTAAAATAACTCAAATTTTTTCTTTTCATTTCAATTTCAACAATAAATATTTTTATGTTAACAATAAATAATTTCAAAATAACACAAAGTTTTCTTTTCATTTAAATAATAAATATTTTGCGAAAATAATACAAATTTCATTTTTGATTATAATAATAAATATTTTGCGAAAATAATACAAATTTCATTTTTGATTATAATAATAAATATTTTCAAAAACACAACTTATTTTTTTCACTTTAATAATTAATATTTTTTGCGAAAAAATAGCAAATTCTTTCATTTAATCCATTTCTTTTCATTTAACAAATGAATAGAAGAAGAAGAAAAGAAACATATGACGTAATCTTATATTTTAGCTTTTTTCTTTTCTTTGAATCGAAAAAGTAAAAGAAAATTTCTTTTTCTTGTTCATTTATTTCAACGAATAGAAAAAGAAACGAACAAATAAAAAAACAATTCACAGTCTTATTAGATAGAAAATCGTTGAACACGACTATTATAAGAATCGACGACATAGAGATTACCTTGCCGATCGAAAGACAAACCCTCGGGGTAGCGGAACTGATGCGCTTCTGCTTCTTCGTCATTTCCACCCACAACTACAGTGCCTTGTTTCTTGTCTCCTTGAGTCCAACGCATTACACGATGATTGTGCGAGTCTGCTACATAGAGTGTACCTAACGTATCAACGAAGAGTCCCTTAGGAGAAGACAATTGTGACAGAGCATTTCCTTTGCATTGTCCTCCAGCAATCACAATACCTTCTGTTGCACCTTCCACACATTTCATTACACGATTATTGTTGCTGTCTGATGCGTACACTGAATGATCTCGATCGACAAAGAGATATCTCGGCTCATTGAGTTGATTGAGACCATCACCTTGTCCATTACCACCAGCTACGAGAGTGCCATTCTTCTCACCCAATTGATATCGTCTTACTTCATGTTTTATGCTGTCAGAGACGTAGAGATATCTCTGTTCGTCCATTGCTAATCCCCAACACCAGATGTTGTTAATGAGTATTTCACCTTCTGTTGTACCACTACGACGAGACCATCGTACAACTCGTCGATTCCATCGATCACAAATAATGAGACTATCCGTCTCTTTGTCAATTTATACATCCGTTGGATGATTCAATTGAAGTGTTTACAATAAAACAAGATAGCAATATTGCGCTGCTAATAATATGTGTGTACGGTTCTCAAAACAAGTCAAGTCTAACACTATTTACATTCTAATAAACTATTTCTTCGAACAACTCAAATTTTAACTACTCTCTGGCTTATAGTACTGCCCTCTTCCCCCAATATATCGTGAGCTTATATAATAGAGAGTATGGATGTGCAGTGCTGATGTAAATACCTAAAAACTGGGATTAATATCACTGACAGTGTGCTCAGTGGAGCACTGAGCCACTGCACTCATCCAAGTATACATCTTTGCCAAGGATATCATAATTTTGAATAGTCTATAATTTTAAATTATACAACAAAGTTTGTTGAACAAACTTCAATGGATTGCATCACTTATTACTTTACTCGAATACATGAATACCATCATTCAATTCAAAGCCTCTCAACTATGTATTTAATAGGTTGATGTGCTATGTAGAACTTTGCGTTCTGTGTGGAACGTTCAAGAAAGATCAAAATTTATTCTGCATAACAAAGAGAAACGTAGTTGTATTGTGTAGCTAGGTCGCATTTATAAAATGAAATTATAAAATTTCATTTTATATTTTTGATTCTGTTGGATTCGTCAACAGACGGTGACAGTTTCATAAGGTTTATTTATCACTCCCTAAAATCAATGCATATCGGAAGCTATCTGAATCTGACAAGATTCTGCGGCCGAATTTCTCAGCCTGGAATGGTCATAGAAGGAAAAAGAGAGAATGAATAAATACTATGAAAGAAGAAAAGGAAGAAAAAAAACTAGAACAATCATAGCGTATGCTATCCGGCAACAGCGAATGGATAACTTAGTAATGCATTGAAAATATTACTTTGGATATAATCAACTCTAAGGCTCCAACAGCATCAGAAAAAGTGAATTAAGTTGAAGTTGAATTACGCAATGAGATTGGTAAATTCAGAGTTAACTCATCTTTTTGAGGCGACTTTACTTTGAATTAACTAATCGCATTGCGTAATTCAACTTTAACTTAATTCACTTTTTTTGGGTTGTCTGAGGCATAAGAAACAAAATTGAGAAATTATCCCGGTCATACCGTCTTATCCAATGCAATCTTCTTTCGCATGAGCCCTTTTCTTTCAAAAGATGTCACAGTAGCTGTATTACAACTTCATTTAATCAGAAGTTGTCGGTGTACCAGTGTTCCGCTGGACAGCGATGTCGGTGAGGTCAGTGCACTGAACTTCGCTATTTCACTGACTGAATATTTTCGGTGTTCTCAGTGAAGTCAGTGCTCCACTGAGCACACTGTCAGTGTAGCCAGTGCTCAGTAAACTGACACTGCACATCCCTAATCAAGTTGTTGATTTCGTTCATTTTTTTTATTTACAATGGCGAGTGAAAGAAGAGTTTTAAAAATATGATTTAATTATTAATAGATGAATTTTAATCCAATTCAATTTTCACTCTCTGCTGCATGCATTCAAAAACAAAGTAATCGTCAGACAATCTCACAAAAAAAACAGAGAAATGAATCAGATAACTAATATAGATAATGGAAATCCGACCCAACTATATGTGTATAAAAATAAAAGCTGTCATGTTTTGTATCATTACATTTTTCGAAAACATATCATTATTAATTTGTGAAGCGATGAAAATGAGAAATGTCATATATGATAATAAATCACATATTTATTCTTGTGTCTCTTTTGATAATAAAATCTTTTCAAAGTTAAATGCTTAAAATCACTAGATTTGTAGTATAGGACATATTTCTGTAAAGATTGTCAAAAAAATGATTGATCATGAAAAACGGAAAAAAATTAGTTTGAATAGAATTATTTTCTGCAATGATATAACTATTGTCGTGTAACATAGAACAAATGATTCAATACGATAAACGATGAACTTGAAAAGAGATAGAAGACATTTTCTTCTCTTCTCATAAATANCTTCCAACTCCGAATGAAGACATTGTAAATACACTGCGAAATGTGACTCGTGGAGTGATGCAGGATTCTAATTCAAAACAGATTCCATTTATGAGTGTTCAATTATGTCACAACAATATATTCATGTACGAGCAAACTGACGGTAAGAATAATAGTTTTTGATGGAGTGAAACAAGAGTTACTATAAGACGTATTGCGTCGGCACAATGTATGAGCATACAGTGAAAATTCAACTAAGCTACCATAGGTCATGCTAGAATTGAACTTAGCTGCATTTTATTCTATTACACACCTTCACACTTTACCGAAATAAATCGGTTCAGCGGAAAAGATCAGAAAGAATTAATACCACAAAGCGGTTCGTGTGATTGTGAGTGAGATTAAATATAAACTTATGACTTAACACCAAACATCCATATCATTACCCTGTCCAACACTGGAAGCATATTGAAAATATCAAATAAATCTATCAAGAAATATATATTATTGTTTTGAATTAAAGACTTTTCAATACGGGCCATTATTGGCACAACTAATCCAACACGAAAGATACTTTCAAACAACTCATCTCAAGTAATTTAAACTACTTATTAGTGTCGTACATTTTTTTACATCTGTATCATTTTGTTTTTTAACGATCGATACATCTTCAGCAGCTACTGGCACTGCTGGAAACACTAGAATAGACTCAGTTACCGAAAGGGTGAGAAAAATATCATTTTAGAAAGCAAGTCTTAATCAGATATAACATCTTTTCAGATATCACGCATTAAAATCAATATTTTTACAAACAAAAGTAAGGTTTCATTATCATTATTTCGCTGCCTTGAGAATTATTGGAATAATATCACTATCATTGTGCAGACATGCTATTCTCACAACTAAAACTTTTAGATAATATAATCTCTTATCGAATTATTCTTCTTATTTTCCGATATGTTTGTCTAAGTAAAGTTATAAAATTGTTTGGAATCATATTTTACAATTTATAGACAGCAAGTTCATTTCCCTTGTTCCGATAAATTATCGTACATTTTTTATCTTTACTCATACCACGTAACAGATGATCGATATAAAAAGTGAAAAGATTCTGTTGTACAGAAACGTTTGCACTCTTATATGATTTCAATTAAAGACGTAATACAAGCTCAGAATCTGATTGAATATCAAGTGTGAATGAGAAATGAATCAGGATTTTTCAATTACTCCATCGTCATTCGGTATTAAATAAGTAGTTTAGTTTTATTCATTCTCTACAATAGATTTGAGTAGTTAAGATGCATTTTCGATCGACTTATTACTATATGTATATTACTTGTTCGAAGTTGATGGCAAACGAAATTCTCCTCACTTTCACTAACTATAGAAACATGTAGTTTTTTTTCATATTGATTAGGAAAAAGATGATTCTAGCTAATAAATTGGAAATTTCTTAAAGGTATATTGACAAAACAAGTTTTGCCACCGGTATGAGCGAATTTTAAGGGTGTAGTGTCAAAAACTAGGACAGATTATGTGTCTTGATTAAAAGAAAAAATGTTCTTGTGGTATACGGATAACTGCAGATAGCTTTTCCATGCTGACTACTATCAATCGAGTTTTGTTACGTGTTTAAATTTTAAATTCTGATATCAGTAGCCACTTGTAAACCCATAGCAGGAAACTTTCCTTCTTGATGCAGTTAAAAGATAACAAAAGATGAAAATAACTCGTAACTTTCTTATTCAATTAATCTTTTCTGTTAATAATATATAACTTATAGTTCTATACCCATTGTTAAGTTGCACATCTTCCTCTAATTCTGAGAAATTCTACAAGCTCTCATCGCCCAATTAATTCTTTAGTGACATGACTTTCACTACTTCAAGTCAAAAATTGATGTGCTAATCTGGAAAAGCATTCATAAAGATCTTGATTAGATGTATAACTAGTTTTTCAACTCTTTTTACAGTAGACAAAGAGTTCATTTAAAAACTGAATTTCTAATATGCTATCATGAGTCTATGGTGTATTCTAATGATGTTAAGTTTTCAAATAATTTTTTCATTTTTTTTCATAGAGAATTCACTAATACAGTGGTCATTTTTTTACTCAAGAATCGACTTAAAAATATGAGTAAAAATAATTTGCGTTGTGTTTTCTGGTCTTCGACTATCTGTACCAATAATCAAATTTATGAAATAATAGATGATGCGCTTATTGATTGGGAAAATAATCATTCGATGATATATGAGAAAGAAAAGAGAATAAATGGTAAGATCATTGAACTCAATCCGTAGTAAAACAAAGAAAACAAAATGATGACATTAACCGAGAAGTACCGACTCAATCAGTATACTTTCATACATGTCGAACTTGAAACTTGAATTCAACTGAAACTTGAATTTCAACTTGCAACTTTCAAGTTTCAAGTTTCAAGGGTGTGGGTGCCGGGGAAGGGAGATTCGCTTGTCTACACACACATATGTACCCTTAACGTGGGTGCCGGGGAAGCAGTAGTGTTAGAGCAATAACGTCAAACTTGAAACTTGAAACTTGAAACTTGAAACTTGAAACTTGAAACTTGAAACTTGAAACTTGAAACTTGAAACTTGAAGTTTCAGTTGAATTCAAGTTTCAAGTTTGACACTACTGTATACTTTACAGTCGCTTGACTTATAATAGTAATATAGAGTTAGAAATATTTTTGTTCTTTTCTCATCAAAAATAATTTTAGGGACACCATGTTTCTTTCAGACTAACTTATATAGTTTCCAAAAAGAAAGGAGCTAGGTATCTATTTCGCTTTTGTGTATGATATTGAACGCATTTCTAATTCTAAAATATATCTTTTCTTATATACAAAGTTTTGAAACAAGAAAACAATGACGTGGGCGTAAAGGTTTTATATTTGTCACTCAGTTAAAACCATATTGAAGTTGCAATAGGAAGATAACTTAAATTCACACTATTTATGAGAAGAGAAGAAAATGTCTTCTATCTCTTTTCAAGTTCATCGTTTATCGTATTGAATCATTTGTTCTATGTTACACGACAATAGTTATATCATTGTAGAAAATATTTCCATTCGAACTAGTTTTTTTCCTTTTTTCATGATCAATCATTTTTTGACAATCTTTACAAAAATATGTCCTTCTACAAATCTAATGATTTTAAGCATTTAACTTTGAAAAGATTTTATTATCAAAAGAGACACAAGAATAAATATGTGATTTACTATCATATATGACATTTCTCATTTTAATCGCTTCACAAATTAATAATGACATGTTTTCGAAAAATGTAATGATACAAAACATGGCAGAATTTTTATTTTTATGCAAATACAGTTGGGTCGAATTTCAATTATCTATATTAGTTATCTGACTCATTTCTCTTTTTTTTTTGAGATTGTCTGACGATTAATTTGTTTTTGGATGCATGCAGCAGAGAGTGAAAATTGAATTGGATTAAAATTCATCTATTAATAATTAAATCATATTTTTGAAACTCTTCTTTCACTCGTCATTGTAAAGAAGAAAATGAACGAAATCAACAATTTGATTAGGGATGTGCAGTGCAGTGTCAGTTTACTGAGTACTGATCGCACCGACGCCGGTGTCCATTGGAGCACTGTACACCGACAACTTCTGATTGAATAAAGTTGTAATACAGCTATTGGGACATCTTTTGAAAGCAAAATACGCTTGCGAAAGAAGATTGCATTGGATAAGACGGTATGACCGGGATAATTTCTCAGTTTTATTTCTTATGCCCCAGACACTCCAGAAAAAGTGAATTAAGTTAAAGTTGAATTACTCAATGCGATTAGTTAATTCAAAGTAAAGTCGTCTCGAAAAGATGATTTAACTTTGAATTTTTCCAATCTCATTGCGTAATTCAACTTTAACTTAATTCACTTTTTCTGATGCTGTTGGAGCCTTAGAGTTGATTATATCTAAAGTAATATTTTCAATGCATTACTAAGTTATCCATTCGCTGTTACCGGATAGCATACGCTATGATTTTTCTATTTTTTTTCTTCCTTTTCTTCTTTCATGGTATTTATTCATTCTCTCTCTTTCCGTCTATGACCATTCCAGGCTGAGAAATGCGACCGCAGAATCTTGTCGGATTCAGATAGTTTCCAATATGCATTGATTTTAGGGAGTGATAAATAACCCTTATGAAACTGTCACTGCCTGTTGACGAATCCAACAGAATCAAAGATATAAAATAAAATTTTATAATTTCATTTTATAAATGCGATCTAAGCTACACAATACAACTAAGTTCCTCTTTGTTATGCAGAATAAATTTGGATCTTTCATGAACGGCCCACACAGAACGAGAAGTTCTACGTAGCACACCAACCTATTAAATACATAGTTGAGAGGCTTTGAATTGAATGATGGTATTCATGTGTTCGAGTAAAGTAATAAGTGATGCAATCCATTGAAGCTTGTTCAACAAACTTTGTTGTATAATTTAAAATTATAGACTATTCAAAATTATGATATCCTTGGCAAAGATGTATATTTTGACGGGTGCAGCGGCTCAGTGCACCGAACTTCTGTGTTTCACTGATCTTCAGTGCTTCAGTGAATACTGACTGAATATTTTCGGTGTTCTCAGTGTAGTCAGTGCTCCACTGAGCACACTGTCAGTGATATCAACCCCAGTTTTTCAGTATTTACACCGACACTGCACATCCCTACTCTCTAGTATATAAACTCACGATATATTGGAAAAATAGAGCAGTACTATAAGTCAGAGAGTAGTTAAAAATTGAATTGTTCAAAGAAACAGTTTATTAGAATGTAAATAGTGTTAGACTTGACTTGTATTGAGACCCATGCGTACCCTATTATTATCAGCGCAATATTGCTATCTTGTTTTATTGTAAACCCATTATTGAATAAATTATTACAAGTTGGTATTGTCCAAACATTCTTGCTTGTACTACTTACAAGAGTTTCGATTAATTATCTCGCGATACACCCACACAAAAGAGATAAATAGAGTCCATCACTTGAAACTCCGATTGAATGACTTTTTAATGTCTGCTTGGGTAAACTAGATTTAATTATTTAAGTTTGATTTTCTACAAAATATAGAATTTAAATACGCTTGAGAGAGAAAACGATCTATTCAAAGAATTTTGCTCGATACTTTCGAAATTATTTCATATACTAGCTATACTCGAGAGAGAAAGAGAGATATCTCCTTTTATTCTTACTCTTTCTCTTCTAGTTAATATTCCTGCTAATGCCACAGAATAATTTATAAAGTATAATAAAAGATATTGGCTTGTATTTATGTCAGTGATAAAATTTTTGGAATGAACATCTTCACTTGTTTTTTTCTCACGTGGAGGTTTCCAATATTTTAATCTAATGAACATACCAATAATGTGCTTGCATATATACTTTTTCATGAATGATGGGCTTCACCATTGTTAGAGCAGCCAAATAGTATATATCGTTGTATCACCATTCATAATATAGATATAACGTCTTTGTTCAGCCTAACCCAATCGTATGCAGCAGTTCAATATGATAATGTTATTGATAAGAGTAGGATTTCGTTCTTTGGACCACTTATTGACTATAGAAAAATAAGGCAAATTTAAATTCTTTTAACTGCTTTAATGTTGCTAGAAGGTTGAGTTTACGTATACCATTTTCAGAATCAGAATTATACTGTGCTACGTGTTTGCGATTGAATCATTTGTGTATAAATTACATATAATATTTCATGAAGTTATTTTATACTTTATTTAAATGAATTATTCCTTATCCCAATATATACGCAATTCTATATATCTCGATAGTTATTTGAAGAATACGTCTAATAAGCTCACATAAGAAATAAATCGTTATATAATTATTATATGTTTGTCTGTTCATAGAAAATATAGACTCTCATGTGTATATAGCATCTCAAAAATACAAAGCAAAAGATAAATGTCTGTAGAACTATTTTGATGCAAAAAATCTCATTTTAAACATAACAAGACACTATGATATAATTGTCAAAAAAAAGAGCATTAGGGAGAACGATATGCTATATTCTTTCTATAGAATAATCTTTCAGTATAGAAAAAACTTATTCTGCGGAATTTCTAGCAAACAAGAATGATCTATTCAAAGAATTTTGCTCGATACTTTCGAAATTATTTCATATACTAGCTATACTCGAGAGAGAGAAATAGATCTCCTTTTACTCTTATACGTTTTTTCTTCTAGTTAATATTCCTCCTAATGCTAAATGGACACAGAACGGAGTGATTATTGCTGGAGGCCACGGGGGTGGGGATGCCACTAATCAACTCTTTTGGCCTTATGGTCTCTTCGTTGATGATGATCAAACAGTGGTAATTACTGACTGGCTGAATAATCGTGTCATGCAATGGAAGAACGGTGATACAACGAATGGACAAGTTGTTGATGGTGGTAAAGGCGCAGGAAATGAATTACATCAATTGTCTTGGCCAACTGATGTATTAATTGACAAAGAGACGGATAGTCTCATTATTTGTGATCAAGGGAATCGACGAGTTATACGATGGTCTCGTCGTAGTGATACAACACAAGGAGAAATACTCATCGACCACATCAGCTGTTACGGAGTCGCTATGGATGAACAGAGATATCTCTACGCCTCTGACACCAGAGAAGATGAAGTAAGACGATATCAATTGGGTGAGAAGAATGGCACTCTCGTAGCTGGTGGTAATGGACAAGGTGATGGTCTCAATCAACTCAACATGCCGAGATATCTCTTTGTCGATCGAGATCATTCAGTGTACGTATCAGACGAGTGTAATCATCGTGTGATAAAATGGGTGGAAGGTGCAACAGAAGGTACTGTGGTCGCTGGAGGACAAGGTCAAGGGAATGCTCTGACACAATTGTCTTATCCTAATGGAATCTTCGTTGATACGTTGGGTACACTCTATGTAGCAGACTGGGGGAATCATCGTGTAATGCGTTGGACTCAAGGAGCAAAAGAAGGCACTGTAATTGTGAGTGGAAATGACGGAGGAGAAGGAGCAAATCAGTTGAACCGCCCCTGTGGTTTGTGTTTCGATCGACAAGGTAATCTCTATGTCGCCGATACGAAAAATAATCGTGTTCAACGATTTTCTATCGAATAAGACTTGTGAATTGTTTTTTCTTTCTTCGTTTCTTTTTCTATACTTTGAAATAAATGAACAAAAAAAAAGAAATTTTTCTTTTACTCTTTCGCTTCAAAGAAAAGAAATAAATTAAATAAAAATTATTTTTCGCAAAAAATATTAATTATTAAAGCAAAAAAAATAAATTGTGTTTTTGAAAATATTTATGATTTAAAAAAAGTAAAATTTTGTATTACTTTGAAAATATTTGATTCCTGAAATGAAAAATAAAATTTGTGTTATTTAAATGAAAATAAAATTTTGTGTTATTTTCATAAAAATATTTGTTAGCAAATTGAAAAAAAAATTTGTTTTTTTTTGAAGAAATTTAGTAGTAAATTGAAAAAAAATGATTAGTAAAACGAAAAAAATGATTAGTAAATTGAAAATAAATGCTTAGTAAAATAAAATAATTTCGTAGTAAAATAAAATAATTTATATGTAAAGTGAAAATAAAATGTTGTATTATTTAAATGAAAATTTGTATTATTTTCGTAAAATTTGTATTATTCAAATGAAAAGAAAAAGATTTGAGTTATTTTGAAATTATTTATTGTTAACATAAAAATATTTATTGTTGAAATGAAAATATTTATGATTGAAATGAAAAGAAAAATTTTGATTTATTTGAAGAATATTTATTTTAACAGGTTTAGGGCAGTTGGTCGCACAGCATAAATAAGAGGAATTTAAAGTGCAAAAAACAATTGAACATTATTTATTAATTTATAAATAATTAAATAGAGAACATTACAGAGAAATCCGAACAATAAGACAACTAAATGTAACAAGTAAAGTAAAGTTTTCAATAGTGAATAAGACAGCAACGAAAAAAAAATGCATAGAGACAATAAACGTTCAATGCACGTTAATTGATCATAAATATTAGGATGTGGATTGTCTACTAATTGACGAAGTCGTTTATTAAACGATTCATATTTTCCTACTGGTGGTTGTCTTCCTGTCATTGCGTTAAGAATGCCCGAATGAATATTATTTTCTTCTTTCATTAATTTGCCTAAAAACGACCATACTGTCGGGTGACTGCATTCCCAGGTCGAACAGTCCGGCCTGGAAACGGCCGGTTCCGGGTAGTTCCACTGATTTTGTGGAAGCAGTATTCCGGTTGGAAAATTTTCGCACTTTTTCCGATGATTTCCGATCAATTCCTGCCGGAAAGCACTGGAACTTGGCAGGAATTTTCCGGAAAAGTCCGGCCGTATTTTTGACCGGAATACTGCTTCCATGTTCCAGCGATTTCTTGTGTTCTCCTGCAGGATATAGTGACTTTCCCGCATATTCCCTGGAGTATCCTACGGGATCCGGTGACCGGAATGTTCGACCTGGGATTGGAATGCACTATTTTATTCTCTATACCAGCCTTCTACGTTGTTGTTGGAGCGGTGCATATTGTTTTTAACACGTTCCATCATGCCCCAAAAATCAATTGGATAGGATGCTTGTCTTCGGATGCGTCCTCGCCTTCTTCCAATATAATTGCCTTCTATGTAATCGAGTATTTGTTGATAATTGTCATCCAGATTAGTACATAATAGTTCAAAGGCATTAGCAACAATAGTTGTTTCAATAAATGCTAATGCCAAAATCTTGTGAATGTTATCTGCAAAAACTACATCATTCTCATAAGTTTCCTTGAAACCATTCGCCTAAATATACCACATCAACAAAATTAATTATTAAACTTTTATCATAAGAATATCATACTTGCAAGAAGCGAAGAACACTTTGACTGAAGTGAAAGTAACAACCACTGAATTCAACCGTTCGAAATGTGCGTATAAATACTTTTGATAGTGGCTTTTTCAAAGTCCATCATAACTCTCTGTGGTTGCCACGCTGGCGCTAGTTGAAAAATTTCGTTGGTCATTTTTTGGTAAATCTGTTCTGATTTAGAAGGTAAAAGAATAAATGCTACTGGAATTACATGATTCCTGTATAATGCATATATTTCAAACAATTGAAAAAAGATCTCTGGTGCGATCTTGAATGTACCATCGATGAAAAAGTCCTATAATGAAAACATTTTATCAGTTAAATTTAATATTTTAAAAACATACTGTAGCATTTTCCATGATTTGCTGTTATTCATCAGTGAAAAACAATAACATTCTGTTCAAACCTGAACCTGTATCTTTCCGAAAAAAGATAGTGTTACGAGTTGTTTGATGATATTTTGTTGGAATAGCTGGAAAATCAATGGTTGTTGGTGTTGGTGCAGTAGTAGTTACTTGACGCCAACGACGAACGTTTCGTTTTAAATTATAATTCGTTGGTAATTGAACACGTACTTCATCAGGTACACCAATGTTTACTTGAGTTAATATATTATGTGGAGTTGTATGATTTTGTTCTGATTCTTGTTTTAACTTTTCAAAATATTTACGAGTTGCTGCGCATCGTGAATTGCCAACATGATTTTCATGCTCACCTACTATTTTAATAAGTTCATAATTTGATGTTGTGTGCAGTCGTCCATGGCAAGAATATTTTCTTGAGTATTCACATTTCCAAAGAATTTTTGTTACAGTTTTTCGATCAATTGTATATGAGTAACTGTTGTGTATTAATAATGGTGTATTTTTAGAAGTTTTTGTTAGAGTAACAGACATTACTACTTTCGTAAAATATCTTTTTAAAATTTTCAACAACTTATATATACTTTATATGTATACATGATTATCGTTAAATGAAAATGATCATTAGATTAATATCCTCAATTTGAGAAATATTGAATTAATTACATCAATTAGTCAATCATGATGATTATTCTTCCACACCAGATCAATTCATTGTATTAATGTTGTGTGATTATTATACTAATATTCCTCTTATTTACACTATATCACCAACTGTCCGTGCGACCAATTGTCCATGCGACCAACTGCCCTACGACCAACTGTCCGCGCGCAACTGTCCGACGATCAAATGTCCTGCGGCCAACTGTCCGGATCCCATTTTGACAATCAAAAAAATTAAATTATAAAAAATTAAACAACAATAATGTAAAAATATATACTTACATTTGTGTTCGTTTTGATTTAACTGAATTGTTGAATGGAACTAAAACATAAAAATAACAATTAATTATATTTTTTTGGAATAAGATAATGAAGATAAGTGAAAGTAATTATATTTACTTTGCTGTTGAAGAAATCGAGATGAAACAAATTGATTGGAATGAGAAATTATTTTTTGCTTACCAGCTAATAGTTGCTCGCGCGACCAAGAACTACCTTGGTGGTGCCATATAGAGAGCCGAGGCTCTTCATGTACAGGCATAGATCTAGTGTGTATAGAACATACAACAAGAAGATCCATATGCGGCCTGTACGTGCTATGGGCACCAAGGAAGGCTTGGCCAGTTTCACGCCGATGTATGGAAGGCCTCCGTAGGACATATTAAAAATTTAATTAAAAGAATACTTACTTTTGTTACTGAAATAGAAAATTAAAAAATTATTAACTAAAACGAAAATAAAATAAAATTATTATCATATAAAATTAAAATAAACAAATGGGGTAAAAAGCTGAGACAACGAAAAAACAAATTAAAAGAACTAAAACTATACTTACCCGTGATATTGATAATTGTGAATATGAATATAAGCTAAAATAGTTAAAAAATAAAAAATATATATACATAGTATTATAATAAAAGAAGAAGAAGAAGAAGAAAAAGGGGAATGATACTTTACGTTGATAATTGTAGCTATTTATAGTCATTTTTTGGTGAATTGAAATAGACAATTGATATTAGCTATCAATTGTACTTTGGATGATTGATCAACAATGTGACTGTGTTACAATTAGTAGTCATCGTCATCGAGATAAATCAATTATGTCATACAGAAACATATTGACGTATACTCGACTAATTGATCGTTTGTGTTTCATCTGCACCTGTGCAGAATGAAAGAATCATAATAAGTCTATCTATCGGAATCCATCGCAATGGCAATTTTCAATTGCTTTTAGTTTGAACATTATTCTGTTTTAATCTATGGTTTCCATTCATTTATTAAACAACAATTTAGAATTAGTTAAATATGGTGATTTATGTTTATCTTATAATTTTAATTTTAATGCTTATTCAAAAATGTAAGTAGAATTATTCTAACAACTAGAGATAATTGAATTTTGTTTTCAATTTCAGTTCAATCAAAATTACAAGTAGAAAAACAGATTTATGTTTAATCCAAAAAAATGATATATTAATGTTATGCAAGTAAAATGAATCCACTTGATCAATTTATTTTTATTTAATGCAATTGGGAGCAAAACTTTATAATTAAGTAAGGATTCATTCATTTTTTAGATGAATTTAAGTAGTTTAGATATTTAAAAGTAGTAGTTCCATCATCATCATGTCAAGATGAACAACTTCTTTAACTAATCTTCTATGGTTTACATCTGATGTTTTTTTTATGGATAAACCTTTTGAAAATATGTTTTGAATTATGTTTGACAAATCCCAGGTAGACTGATCTGACATCGGATCCGATAGGAACCTGGAAATATCCTACAATCCGATACAATTCTATTGGATTCCGGGTCGAGGAATCGATGTCGGATCCTCAGTGTTGGATTCCTATNATCGATACTCAAACAAACATCCCAGACGTCTTCCCCTACAAAGAGGTGCCTGAGATGTTATCATTTAGCAATAATTTCATATTTGGATCGCTTGTCAGGATAAAATCTAATTCAAACGGTATTCTTATTTATAGGTTTCAATCCAAATGTTTCAAAACGACAGAATAGACTTCTCATGAACCTTTGGTTTATTAAAAGAATCAAATTAAATATTAAAAACTCTATCAGACTAAGCAATATATTGCTTATGAAACTGTAAATGAGATTTTTAGTAATTGAATCTAAATAAAAGGCCACCCAACAATCCACATCCAGCTATACACAATTGCTAACACGTTGGATACACTTATCACTACGTAGAGACATGGAAAATAGCATTGTTGAATTCTTACGCCAAAACTTGTATTATTTGTTTATTATTGATCAAACATGGTCACCTATTTCAGTAGAGAATTAGCGACGCTTACGTCGCATTACTTGTTAATATCAATTTGCATTAATTTAAGTATAAAATCAATCTAAATTATGAGAAGTTACCTTCAAAAGAAATTAAAAAGCTTTTCAGCGTAGCCCCGTTAGGACTAAAATGTAGAACTCACATATTTCGGTCAGTTAGATACTGATCAAATAGAAGTTTTCTTTTTTCAGTGTAGTGAGATCATATTTTGTTCAAAAATAAGATAATAGAACCCTTTTAACATTTAAAGTTTATTGAATCTATCAATAGGAAATATTACTAGAGAGAACCTATAAAAACACTTTTTGTTTAGAACATGTTCGTATACTGAAGTGTTTAGTGGTTTCATTGAGAAATATTGTGAATGATAATAGTTTAAACAGTATTTAGGATATAGCTATCAATATTGTTGAGAAATTTGTATTTTTTCGTATTATCAGGTGAGAAATTGATACATTTTTTCATAAGCGAAAATTTGATAAAAGTTTCCCAGTGGATGGAAAAGTTGCGAATTGTAAATACACTAAAGTGGATTCAAGCTCTAGATTAAGGTATTTGTGTGAGAAAAAAAGATTAAAATCTTCATCTGTTTATTGTACGTGGTAGAAGTAACGAGCGTGATAGCATAAACTAGGTGCTAGCTTCTGTAGCGGTAGCATACCTCGTTGCTAACGTCTGTAATAATAAAAATATACGATACTGTCGTAACTATGGACTATAATAATAATAACGACAGATTTTGATGATTAATTAGAGATTAAATCCTAATTGTAATGATTTCTAATTAGTGAAACTAGATTTGTATTACTGATGTGAGTAGTGGTGAACATAGGCAATCGACCTGTACCAAAAAAGTTTCTAATTAGTGCATCTAAGTGTTATTTTTTTTATATTTTATGTCTGTAATGAGGAGGTGAGGGTGAGACACAGGGGAGTCGCAAAAAATCTAACAATTCAACTTACACTCACTATTTTCTTCGAAAATATATGTGAGTTCCACAAAAACAAGATTGTATACTGTTACACGACGTTTCAAAAACTGAAATTTTTTACTCAAATATACACAAACAAATGATGGTAGAGGAAATTACGTGATTAAACAATAATTATTTCTGAAAAAGAAGACCAGTATAATACTGGTATTGGTGCATCTCTAATATCATACCTTGAACAAGAAAGATTGAATCCAGTAGTATTTCGGTAACTTCTTCAGAATATTCTATAAAAATAAAAAGGATTCAAAACAAAATAATAACTTTTAATCTAAAATATTTTGTTCATTAAATATATATCTTTCAAGTAATTAAGATAGATCATCTGAAAGACTTACTCAAATAAGTTTCATCGAATTTTAATCATCTTTTATTCAGTGAAAAATGAATAGGTTTTAACAACTACCATCGATAAAAGAAACTTAATTTCATTGAGTATTTTTCTCTTAAGGACTAAAATTAAATAGGAATTTATCACACTAACTATATATGGATTCATTTATTGTATTTTTGCCATGCTCATTCGTGTCGTCTTCATCATTTGCATCAATCAAATAAGTGAATGAAACATTAAATATCGACATAATCGATATTAAAATAATAACAAGATGTTGAAAAAGACGACGAATTATAGTATCCATTGATTCAATTAATGTTTTTTTCTGAAAATAATTTTTATCTAAAAATAATCAAAAATCTTCAATAGAATTGAATCAAAATATTCTTTCTTATTTTCATAAATCATTAAATAGCGAGTAATTTGAGGGCGTGGGTGTGGCTACATACACAGCCAGATCCTAGCGGAGCAGCGCTGGCAGCAAGTAATGAGAGATAAAACATTGAATATTCCAGCAATGACTTCTTTTGCCTCGTCTGCAATTTTTAAGCAAGGGCGGGATACAGAGAAAAATGGAATGCAATAGTACATCACACTTTTAACTAGATGTTATCCAAAAACAAATTTCAACAGTACGAGCATTTAGTGTCACCTTGGAGCATTGGTGGCGTTCTTCTATTTCAAATTGATCAACGAAGGAAAGACACATCTCTTTCGATGTGGATGCCACAGAAAGACATACCCACATTTTCAATTGAAAGTATTATATCTCACAGATGTAAAACATTATTTTCATTAAACAAGAAATCTATTCTTGATTTACAAGATAACCAGTTAATTACTAAAGAATCCTTTTAATTTAAAAAAATATATTCTCTTAATGTCAATATCAACAGAGTAATAGCCATAAACGCTGGCAAAGCTGTACTTGAATTGATTTTGTCATAAATAAATACTTGTGTCAATCGATATGGTGCTTTACAGTCCATGGTTATTTTTAGCTTTTTACTTATCATCCCTTTTTTTCTTTTCATTTTCAGCATTCCATTTTCTCTTCCTTGATGAAGAAAAATAAAAATGATTCTAAACATAAACACATGGTGTTGCATGACTCAACACAACAAAACGCACCAATGTGTTTTTTTCCGCATGCGGTTTTTCTCTGGAATTTTAATGATAGAAATAATTTTTAAAAAACTTAATAACATGGCAGATATTCATCAAAAATGT